TGTGTGGCTACAGGTCAGGTCCTGCTACCTGCATGTGTGGCTACAGGTCCTGCTACCTGCATGTGTGGCTACAGGTCCTGCTACCTGCATGTGTGGCTACAGGTCAGACCCTGCTACCTGCATGTGTGGCTACAGGTCCTGCTACTTGCATGTGTGGCTACAGGTCCTGCTACTTGCATGTGTGGCTACAGTTCAGACCCTGCTACCTGCATGTGTGGCTACAGGTCCTGTTACCTGCATGTGTGGCTACAGGTTCAGACCCTGCTACCTGCATGTGTGGCTACAGGTCAGGTCCTGCTACCTGCATGTGTGGCTACAGATCCTGCTACCTGCATGTGTGACTACAGGTCAGACCCTGCTACCTGCATGTGTGGCTACAGGTCAGACCCTGCTACCTGCATGTGTGGCTACAGGTCCTGCTACCTGCATGTGTGGCTACAGGTCCTGCTACCTGCATGTGTGGCTACAGGTCAGACCCTGCTACCTGCATGTCTGGCTACAGGTCCTGCTACCTGCATGTGTGGCTACAGGTCCTGCTACCTGCATGTGTGGCTACAGGTCAGACCCTGCTACCTGCATGTGTGGCTACAGGTCAGACCCTGCTACCTGCATGTGTGGCTACAGGTCAGACCCTGCTACCTGCATGTGTGGCTACAGGTCCTGCTACCTGCATGTGTGGCTACAGGTCCTGTTACCTGCATGTGTGGCTACAGGTCCTGCTACTTGCATGTGTGGCTACAGGTCAGACCCTGCTACCTGCATGTGTGGCTACAGGTCCTGTTACCTGCATGTGTGGCTACAGGTCCTGCTACTTGCATGTGTGGCTACAGGTCTTGCTACCTGCATGTGTGGCTACAGATCCTGCTACCTGCATGTGTGGCTACAGGTCAGACCCTGCTACCTGCATGTGTGGCTACAGGTCCTGTTACCTGCATGTGTGGCTACAGGTCCTGCTACTTGCATGTGTGGCTACAGGTCTTGCTACCTGCATGTGTGGCTACAGGTCCTGCTACCTGCATGTGTGGCTACAGGTCCTGCTACCGGCATGTGTGGCTACAGGTCAGACCCTGCTACCTATATGCTACCAGTATGTGCTGCTTCTTTTAGATCAATCGATTCCCGCCCTCCAATCGATACTACAGTGCTGCGTGTACTGCTTACTAGTATCGATACGCAAGTGCTGCTTAGTTGTTTCGATACACGTGAGATGGGTTCAGGGCGTATGTACGTTCGTGTTAACGTAAATCGTGTATCGATAGCTGGAATCGACGCAACAGTACCATCAGTTTTGTGGGCCAAAAAACGTCCCAAAATACATTCTTTTCATCGACCAAAAACTTAATACGATTCTATGTACCCGATCAATCTGAATAAAATAATTCAATGTGCCCTATCCGATCTAAATAAATAATAATATAATGTGCCCAATCAGATCTGAATAAAATAATTCAATGTGCCCTATCCGATCTAAATAAATAATAATATAATGTGCCCTATCAGATCTGAATAAAATAATTCAATGTGCCCTATCCGATCTAAATAAATAATATAATGTGCCCTATCAGATCTGAATAAAATAATTCATTGTGCCCTATCAGATCTGAATAAAATAATTCAATGTGCCCTATCCGATCTAAATAAATAATATAATGTGCCCTATCAGATCTGAATAAAATAATTCATTGTGCCCTATCAGATCTGAATAAAATAATTCATTGTGCCCTATCAGATCTGAATAAAATAATTCAATGTGCCCTATCAGATAAAGAGTTGATATTTTGGGTTGGGCCAACGATTTTAGACAATTTATTAACAGTGACACGATCTTCCTTGTTTTAAAAGTTATCTGTGTCAGTAGCGTACGCTGGGGGGGGGGGGGGGGGGGGGCATTTTAAGGATAGTGGAGCTTTTTTCGGAGATTAATTAATTAAAATTAATTAAAATTTAAAACAAGATCCGCAATACACAAAAAAACAAAAAATAATAAAACAACCCCACCAAACAACAACAGCAAAACATTACCGAATCTATGAATTAAAAGACGGTCATGTTATGTACCCTAAACATCACATTTTTAATAACTCATCGCAATTACATCTATAGCCTACTTCTTGTCTTACTTATCGGCGCCTAAAGGGGTCGGAGTGGTCGAGTCGGTAAAGCTCATTGTCAGTGTTTCTTCCAGAATGGCCTCATTGGCGCATAACCAGTTGACACGTATACCAGTTGACACATATACATAATTGTGTTGGAGGGAATCCTTTCTAGACTAAAATTAAGAACGAAGAAGAAGAAGATAGGCGCCTACCGAGGCGTTAGGCTTGTGCGCGGCGCTTTTTGTCACAATGTCTGTCAACTTTAACGCCTGTACATCTGCTGTTTGTGTAATTCGTGCTGTATATAGACCGCCAACCACGTACAGATTGATCTAATTCACAATTGTGGTCTTTGCTTGAGTTATCTAGCTCAATTCAGCTATCTATCATTTATGCTGGAGGCTCAATTCAGCTATCATTTATGCTGGAGGCTCAATTCAGCTATCTACCATTTATGCTGGAGGCTCAATTCAGCTATCTATCATTTATGCTGGAGGCTCAATTCAGCTATCTATTATTTATGCTGGGGGCTCAATTCAGCTATCTATCATTTATGCTGGAGGCTCAATTCAGTTATCTATCATTTATGCTTTAGGCTCAATTCAGGTATCTATCATTTATGCTGGAGGCTCAATTCAGCTATCTACCATTTATGCTGGAGGCTCAATTCAGCTATCTATCATTTATGTTGGAGGCTCAATTCAGCTATCTATCATTTATGTTGGAGGCTCAATTCAGCTATCTACCATTTATGCTGGAGGCTCAATTCAGCTATCTACCATTTATGCTGGAGGCTCAATTCAGCTATCTATCATTTATGTTGGAGGCTCAATTCAGCTATCTATCATTTATGTTGGAGGCTCAATTCAGCTATCTACCATTTATGCTGGAGGCTCAATTCAGCTATCTATCATTTATGTTGGAGGCTCAATTCAGCTATCTATCATTTATGCTGGAGGCTCAATTCAGCTATCTATTATGTATGCTGGAGGCTCAATTCAGCTATCTATCATTTATGCTGGAGGCTCAATTCAGCTATCTATTATGTATGCTGGAGGCCTATTATCGTTGCATTTTAAGATCAGTCTAGAAACGTAGGATAATTGTTTACCTAAAGTGTGCCCAGTAGAGTACGATTTTGCTTCAAGAAAATCAGCACGTACAGATGTACCTGAAGAAGATCAGCACGTACAGATGTACCTAACGAACATATACTTAAGTACCTCGGGTCAGAGTTTCTTCCAGGCATCTCTTCGGGGGGGGGGGAATAACCCCCCCCCCCCCCCCGAAAAAATTCTACCGCCTCCCCCCCCCCCCCTCCGAAAGAAATGAAATTTATATAATTTATATAGAAAACATATACTTTTAACAGTGTCCGCCCCCCCCCCCCCCCGAAGAAAGTCTACCGCCCCCTCCCCCCGAAAGTTTCAAGTCCGTCCCCCCCCCCCCCCTGGAGAAAAAAGTCTGGAAGAAACACTGCCTCGTGTAAATTTAGTTTAAGGATATAAAAACACTGTGGATAAGAGTAAAACTGCCTCAAACAGAAATCTTTAAAGCTAATTCAAAAATGTAAAGATCTGATATGCAAGACCAATAATTTAGTTAAATGATAATTATACTTTGGGCTATTGTTCAGAATATTCCCCTTATAAGTTGTAGTTTTCTGTGATTTTAAAAGCGCGGTTTTATACCAACTCTGCTTTGACAAACTTTCCTTATGCTGTGTTGTTTTAGCATTTATGTTGAAAATATATTAGACTCTGTTCGTACACAACCTATTTTGTAAATCGAATAGTAATACTTCTGGAATCTATATTAAATAGTGAAGTAATTATTGATCTGGTTAAATTTGACAGTTACAATTAAATGTGTCGGCCTACATGATGTTTTGTTCTTTTGTTTACTACACAGCACTGTTCGAATGTATTTTACCCCAAGTGAAACAATGATTATATATATATATATATATATATATATATATATATATATATATATGGCGCCTTTTTCTTGACTTGCCGCTCCCCCTTGACCAATATCAGTACAAATAAGACGAGAGTGATCACCCCTAAACTTTCTCGAGCATTGTTATATAACACTACGGGGGATGGCAACTCGGGATAATGGCAATGGCATAATTTTAAATCAAATTTTAATTACTTAAACTTTTAAATATAGAATAGAATATCGTAGAAAAGAAGAATTGCGCACCAAATGAACGGCAAATGAACAATATCTGTATAATAGTGCGGAATATTAGTACTTTATAAATTCAAATTATTTGTTTGGGAAATCGGAAATAGCGTAAATTACTACTTCCGGTACACGGAAATTATTCAATATTTGACAGATGGCAGAGAATTAGATCTTTTACTTATAGAAGAAATCTCGTTCATATAACTTAAACAGTTCTCAAATTATGGGCTTTTGAAACATTGATAGTCGAATAAGTTCCACTTCCGGTTATCGGAAAATGTTGTCATCTTGTTTTGACTTTCCATGTCATTTTGTTCCCAAGGATTGGTATCTTGTAGTTTAACTAGATATCACAAATAAACATAAAGATTACTAGCCTGTATCCAACAACAAAAACATCGCTCATTCAGTCATGTGACCGAGGCGAGGTGAGTCGTGTTCACACCACGTCCACTGATGGAAATAAGGGGTAGACTATTGTCTCTTGTATCTTGTACACACGTCATTAATGTATGTATCTTGTACACACATCATTAATGTATGTATCTTGTACACACATCATTAATGTCTGTATTTTGTACAAACCGTAATAGAAGTTGCGAAAGTTGTAGTATAAAAATACCAGGTATAGAATTTGGCACCAAAAGCAAAGATTTGATGAAACCGGAAACAAAGATTTGATGAAACCGGAAATGCCATCACAGGCCGCCATGTTGTAAACAAAAAGTAGCTGGGCCAGGCGGGGGGTTAGCGTCAGGGTAAGCGTCAGGGTAAGCGTCAGGATGCGGGAAATTGTGCATCTTCAGCTTGGTGGCTGCGGGAACCATATTGGGTCAAAGGTTGGTGTTGTTCTTGCTCTGACATGTAGGTCAATAGGGCAGGTACAGTAGAGTATTGGCTCTAGATTTCATAAACTTTCTTTCATATGCGTCTGTCAATGTGTCTCTGCTATGAGTCCTATAGTTTAGTAGTCCTATACCCACGTCGTGTGTCTTACACCTGTACCTGACACCTGTACCTGACACTGTGACTGACACCTGTGACTGACACCTGTGACTGACACCTGTGACTAACACCTGTACCTGACACTGTGGCTGACTCCTGTGACTGACACCTGTGACTGACACCTGTGACTAACACCTGTGACTGACACCTGTACCTGACACCTTTGACTGACTCATGTGACTGACATCTGTGGCTGACCCATATACCTGACACCTGTGACTGTCACCTGCAACTGACACCTGTGACTGTCACCTGTAACTGACTCCTGTGACTAACACATGTAACTGACTCCTGTACCTAACACCTGTGGCTGACACCTGTAACTGACACCTGTGACTCACACCTGTGACTGACACCTGTGACTGACACCTGTGACTCACACCTGTGACTGACACCTGTACCTAACACCTGTGACTGACACCTGTGACTGACACCTGTGACTGACACCTGTGACTGACACCTGTGACTGACACCTGTGACTGACACCTGTGTCCCCCACAGTTCTGGGAGGTGGCCAGCGACGAGCATGGCGTAGACCCGACTGGAACTTTCCACGGAGAATCTGACCTGCAGCTAGAGAGGATCAACGTCTACTACAACGAGGCTACTGGTCAGTTGTCTCAGGTCATGTGACCTTTTGCCTTGTCTTGTATGTTGTGTAGGCTATGGTCAGTGTGTTGTGTGGGCTATGGTTAGTGTGTTGTGTGGGCTATGGTCAGTGTGTTGTGTGGGCTATGGTCAGTGTGTTGTGTGGGCTATGGTCAGTGTGTTGTGTGGGCTATGGTCAGTGTGTTGTGTGGGCTATGGTCAGTGTGTTGTGTGGGCTATGGTCAGTGTGTTGTGTGGGCTATGGTCAGTGTGTTGTGTGGGCTATGGTTAGTGTGTTGTGTGGGCTATGGTCAGTGTGTTGTGTGGGCTATGGTCAGTGTGTTGTGTGGGCTATGGTCAGTGTGTTGTGTGGGCTATGGTCAGTGTGTTGTGTGTGCTATGGTCAGTGTGTTGTGTGGGCTATGGTCAGTGTGTTGTGTGGGCTGTGGTCAGTGTGTTGTGTGGGCTATGGTCAGTGTGTTGTGTGGGCTATGGTCAGTGTGTTGTGTGGGCTATGGTCAGTGTGTTGTGTGGGCTATGGTCAGTGTGTTGTGTGTGCTATGGTCAGTGTGTTGTGTGGGCTATGGTCAGTGTGTTGTGTGGGCTATGGTCAGTGTGTTGTGTGTGCTATGGTCAGTGTGTTGTGTGGGCTATGGTCAGTGTGTTGTGTGGGTTAGGGCAACCTGTCAACATCTATTAGGACAAAGAAGGGCCACGCTATGAGAGGATCGCTTGAAAGTTTTCTTGCTGTCTTCTAGTGCTCGCTAAGTTATATATGTAATGTATTATTGCTCTTTTTAAGAAAAAAATGAAACCGACATAATTCTACTTGACCCGACATAACCCCACTTGACCCTACTTGACCAGACATAACCCTACTTGACCCGACATAACTCTACTTGACCCGACATAACCCTACTTGACCCTACTTGACCCGACATAACCCTACTTGACCCTACTTGATCCCACTTGACCCGACATAACTCTACTTGACCCGACAAAACCCCACTTGACCCTACTTGACCCGACATAACCCCACTTGACCCGACATAACTCTACTTGACCCGACAAAACCCCACTTGACCCGACATAACTCTACTTGACCCGACAAAACCCCACTTGACCCTACTTGACCCGACTTAACCTTACTTGACCCGACATAATCCTACTTGACCCGACATAACCCTACTTGACCCTACTTGACCCGACATAATCCTACTTGACCCGACATAACCCTACTTGACCCGACATAACCCTACTTGACCCGACATAACCCTACTTGACCCGACATAACCCTACTTGACCCGACATAACCCTACTTGACCCGACATAACCCTACTTGACCCCACTTGACCCGACATAATCCCACTTGACCCTACTTGATCCTACTTGACCCGACATAACACCCCTTGACCCGACATAACACCCCTTGACCCGACATAACTCTACTTGACCCGACATAACCCCACTTGACCCTACTTGACCCCACTTGACCCGACATAACCCCACTTGACCCTACTTGACCCCACTTGACCCTACTTGACCCGACATAATCCTACTTGACCCGACATAACCCTACTTGACCCGACATAACCCCACTTGACCCTACTTGACCCCACTTGACCCGACATAACCCCACTTGACCCTACTTGACCCCACTTGACCCTACTTGACCCGACATAATCCTACTTGACCCGACATAATCCTACTTGACCCGACATAACCCTACTTGACCCGACATAACCCTACTTGACCCGACATAACCCTACTTGACCCGACATAACCCCACTTGACCCTACTTGACCCCACTTGACCCCACTTGACCCTACTTGACCCTACTTGACCCCACTTGACCCGACCATCTCGAGCAGGCGGCAAGTTCGTGCCTCGCGCCATCCTAGTTGACCTTGAACCTGGAGTGCTGGACAGTGTCCGTGGAGGGCCGTTTGGTCAGATCTTCCGTCCTGACAACTTCGTCTTCGGCAAGTTTGGCTGCAGCAATAACTGGGCCAAAGGTGGGTCAGTTAGGGGTCAGCTATAGGACATGGGTTTGTGGGTCAGTTATAGGACAATGGTTTGTGGGTAAGTTATAGGACATGGATTTGTGGGTCAGCTATAGGACATGGGTTTGTGGGTCAGTTATAGGACATGGGTTTGTGGGTCAGCTATAGGACATGGGTGTGTGGGTCAGCTATAGGACATGGGTTTGTGGGTCAGCTATAGGACATGGGTTTGTGGGTCAGTTATAGGACAATGGTTTGTGGGTAAGTTATAGGACATGGGTTTGTGGGTCAGAACACGGTTTGTGGGTCAGCTATAGGACATGGGTTTGTGGGTCAGTTAGGGGTCAGCTATAGGACACGGGTTTGTGGGTCAGGACACGGGTTTGTGGGTGAAATGTAAGTGCCTGTCGCCTGTTTCAGGTTTCTTCACTGACGGCGCCGAACTGGCGAACACGATCTGTGACATCGCCAGACGGGAGGCGGAGTCGTGTGACTGTCTCCAGGGCTTTCAGGTCTGACTCTTACATGGTATATCTTACATGATATATATATATATATATATATATATATATATATATATATATATATATATATATATATATATATATATATATATATATATATATATATATATATATATATATAATTCTCTACGTGGGGACCATGCGAGACACCACCAAGACGTAAGCTTAACAGACCATATCGCCACCACCCCCACCCCACGAGTCTGGTGAGCTGTTTACAATCGTAGTGACGGCTATCAGGGGCAGATAATTTAGTTTTCAAACTATTTGAAAATAAGGGGAGGTAATAATATGTTCTTGCTCTTTTCATTGTCGTCTGTAAACTGTCGTCACAGACGGCTGCTTTCACGGAGGCGGGGGGTGGGGGTGGTAAGTGAGGGTGAGGATAATCGTCCTTCACTAGCTACTGAGTGTTTTAAAGCAAAGTATTTTCAGTCACAGCATTGGTAGTGTCGAATTCACAAATTATCAATTACTTAAAATAGGAATTAAACTAAATAGCGGCGTATGCAAGGTCGCGGGTCAGCTTGTATATATAATTCTCTTCATGGAGGGACCATGCGGGACACCAAGACGTAAGCTCAACAAACCATATCGCTAGCACCCCCACCCCTACCGGTCTGGTGAGCTGTTTACAATCGTAGTGTCTGGTCGAATTAGTCACGACTAATAGGGGCAGATAATTTACTTTTAAAACGATTTGAAACTAAGGGGAGGTAATAAGTTCTGCTTGATCTTTTCATTGTCGTGTAAACTGTGTTTAAAGTGTTTAAAGCAAAGTATTTTCAGTCGCAGCTTTGGACGTGTCGAATTCACAAATTATGAACCACTGAAAAATAGAAAATAAAACAACTAAATAGCGGCGTCAGCTCCTGTATTCTCAATGGCTGCGAGTTTTTTTTTTTACTTGTCGCAAGTGTAAGGGCAGTGTTAAGGTAATCTGACCAGAAGAACGAGCACGATTCTGGCCAATCTGACCTTGACCCTCTGCTCCCCAGATGGTCCACGCCCTAGGGGGCGGCACTGGCGGCGGACTGGGCTGTCTGCTGCTGTTGAGGCTGAAGGAGGAGTTCCCTGACAGGATGTTCTGCTCCTTCGCTGTTCTACCCTCCCCCAAGGTCAGAGGTCAACTTGTGTCACAATGACCCGTGTCTTGTCCGTGGGTCACATTGACCCGTGTCTTGTCCGTGGGTCACATTGACCCGTGTCTTGTCCGTGGGTCACATTGACCCTTGTCTCTATATGACCGTTACACCGAGCCTCATTGTCCGACGGGCAGGTATCCGAGGTGGTGGTGGAGCCTTACAACGCCATCCTCTCGCTCAACACCATCATGTCGTGCACCGAGCACACCTACATGCTGGACAACGAGGCGCTGTACGACATCTGTTACCGCACGCTCAAGCTCTCGGCCCCGGCATACGGCGACCTCAACCACCTCGTCTCCTGCGTCATGTCCGGCATCACCACCAGCTTTAGGTAAGGTGTCACCACCAGCTTTAGGTAAGGTGTCACCACCAGCTTTAGGTAAGGTGTCACCACCAGCTTTAGGTAAGGTATCACCACCAGCTTTAGGTAAGGTATCACCACCAGCTTTAGGTAAGGTGTCACCACCAGCTTTAGGTAAGGTGTCACCACCAGCTTAAGGTAAGGTGTCACCACCAGGTAAGGTATCACCACCAGCTTTAGGTAAGGTGTCACCACCAGCTTAAGGTAAGGTGTCACCACCAGGTAAGGTATCACCACCAGCTTTAGGTAAGGTGTCACCACCAGCTTTAGGTAAGCTATCACCACCAGGTAAGGTATCACCACCAGCTTTAGGTAAGGTGTCACCACCAGCTTTAGGTAAGCTATCACCACCAGGTAAGGTATCACCACCAGCTTTAGGTAAGGTGTCACCACCAGCTTTAGGTAAGGTGTCACCACCAGCTTTAGGTAAGCTATCACCACCAGGTAAGGTGTCACCACCAGCTTTAGGTAAGGTGTCACCACCAGGTAAGGTGTCACCACCAGGTAAGGTGTCACCACCAGCTTTAGGTAAGGTATCACCACCAGCTTTAGGTAAGGTGTCACCACCAGCTTTAGGTAAGGTGTCACCACCAGCTTTAGGTAAGGTGTCACCACCAGGTAAGGTATCACCACCAGGTAAGGTGTCACCACCAGCTTTAGGTAAGGTGTCACCACCAGCTTTAGGTAAGCTATCACCACCAGCTTTAGGTAAGGTGTCACCACCAGGTAAGGTGTCACCACCAGCTTTAGGTAAGGTGTCACCACCAGGTAAGGTATCACCACCAGGTAAGGTATCACCACCAGCTTTAGGTAAGGTGTCACCACCAGGTAAGGTGTCACCACCAGGTAAGGTGTCACCACCAGCTTTAGGTAAGGTATCACCACCAGCTTTAGGTAAGGTATCACCACCAGCTTTAGGTAAGGTGTCTCCACCAGCTTTAGGTAAGGTGTCACCACCAGCTTTAGGTAAGGTGTCACCACCAGGTAAGGTGTCACCACCAGGTAAGGTGTCACCACCAGCTTTAGGTAAGGTGTCACCACCAGCTTTAGGTAAGGTGTCACCACCAGGTAAGGTGTCACCACCAGGTAAGGTGTCACCACCAGGTAAGGTGTCACCACCAGGTAAGGTGTCACCACCAGCTTTAGGTAAGGTATCACCACCAGCTTTAGGTAAGGTATCACTACCAGGTAAGGTGTCACCACCAGCTTTAGGTAAGTTATCACCACCAGCTTTAGGTAAGGTATCACCACCAGCTTTAGGTAAGGTATCACCACCAGCTTTAGGTAAAGCGTCACCAATTGGTCCCCATGTTGTCCCCATGTTGTCCCCATGTTGTCCCTATGTTGTCCCCATATTGTCCCTATGTTGTCCCTATGTTGTCCACATGTTGTCCACATGTTGTCCCCATGTTGTCCCCATGTTGTCCCTATGTTGTCCATATGTTGTCCCTATGTTATCCCTATGTTGTCCCCATGTTGTCCCTATGTTGTCCCCATGTTTCCCCATGTTGTCCCCATATTGTCCCCATTTTCCCCTATGTTGTCCCCATGTTGTCCCCATGTTGTCCCCATGTTGTCCACATGTTGTCCACATGTTGTCCCCATGTTGTCCCTATGTTGTCCCAATGTTTCTCCATGTTGTCCCCATTTTTTCCCTATGTTGTCCCCATGTTGTCCCCATGTTGTCCGCTTGTTGTCCCTATGTTGTCCCCATGTTGTCCCCATGTTGTCCCCATGTTGTCCCCATGTTGTCCCCATGTTGTCCCCATATTGTCTGTTGCCCCCATATTGTCCTCATGTTGTCCCCATGTTGTCCCCATGTTTCCCTATGTTGTCCCCATATTGTCTGTTGCCCCCATATTGTCCCCATGTTGTCCCCATGTTGTCCCCATGTTGTCCCCATGTTGTCCCCATATTGTCTGTTGCCCCCATATTGTCCTCATGTTGTCCCCATGTTGTCCCCATATTGTCTGTTGCCCCCATATTGTCCCCATGTTGTCTGGTGCCCCCATATTTTCCCCATGTTTCCCTATGTTGTCCTCATGTAATCCCCATATTGTCCCCATGTTTCCCTATGTTTTCCCCATGTTGTCCCCATGTTGTCCCCATGTTGTCCCCATGTTGTCCCCATGTTGTCCCTATGTTGTCCCCATGTTGTCCCCATGTTGTCTGGTGCCCTCAAGTTTTTTGACACCCTGCAGGTTCCCCGGTCAGTTAAATGGAGACCTGCGCAAGCTGGCGGTCAACATGGTGCCGTTTCCCAGACTCCACTTCTTCGTGCCCGGGTTCGTGCCCCTGACGGCCCGAGGGAACCAGCCGTACAAGTCCATCTCCGTGCCGGAGCTGACGCAGCAGATGTGGGACGCTAAAAACATGATGTGTGCCATCGACCCGCGTCACGGGCGCTACCTCACGGCGGCCGCTGTCTTCAGGGGGCGCATGTCTACCAAGGTAAGGTTTTGTATGACAGATCAGACTTTGTTATGACAGATCAGATTTTGTATGACAGACCAGACTTTGTATGAGAGATCAGACTTTGTATGACAGATCAGACGTTGTATGACAGATCACACTTTATATGCCAGATCAGAATTTGTATGACGACAGATCAGACTTTGTATGACGACAGATCAGACTTTGTATGACAACAGATCAGACTTTGTATGACGACAGATCAGACTGATGTATGTGACAGACCAACCTTGCCTGCTGCCACCAACAGGAGGTGGACGAGCAGATGCTGAACGTGCAGACCAAGAACAGCTCCTACTTCATCGAGTGGGTCCCCAACAACGTCAAGACCATCATCTGCGACATCCCGCCCCGCGGGCTCAGGATGGCCGCCACCTTCATCGGCAACACGACGGCCATCCAGGAGGTCATCCGACGCATCGGGGACCAGTTCCACTCCCTGCTGGCCCGTCGGGCCTTCTTGCACTGGTCAGTCTTGGGCTCAATCTATTATGTCACCATTGGTCAATCTATTATGTCACCATTGGTCAATATCTTATGTCACCATTGGTCAATCTCTTATGTCACCATTGGTCAATCTCTTATGTCACCATTGGTTAATCTGTTATGTCACCATTGGTCAATCTCTTATGTTACCATTGGTTAATCTGTTATTGGTGATTTGGAGATGTATATGTGTTTGTGTGCCGTCAATGAGTTATAGAGGTAGCCTATATTAGCACATCCTGTCTCTTGTAGTCTATGGTAGCACATCCTGTCTATTGTAGTCTATAGTAGCACATCCTGTCTATGGTAGTCTATGGTAGCACATCCTGTCTATGGTAGTCTATGGTAGCACATCCTGTCATAAGGTACCCATGCTACATTGCAGGTACACAGGTGAGGGTATGGAGGAGTCTGACTTTGTGCAGGCCCAGGAGAGCATGAGGGACCTGATCTCCGAGTACCAGCAGTACCAGGACGTGCCCACAGAGCTGGGCATGGACTACCTGGACCAGGCCATGGCGGACGTCCCGGGGGGTCAGCACCAGACCAGGAGCATGACGGCCTCAGACCTGCTCATCAAACAGCACCAGAAGAAGAAGGGGGGATCCTCTAAGGCCACACGATACTAGCCAGCCAACACTAGACCTGCTCATCAAACAGCATCAGAAGAAGAAGGGGGGATCCTCTAAGGCCACACGATACTAGCCAGCCAACACTAGACCTGCTCATCAAACAGCACCAGAAGAAGAAGGGGGGATCCTCTAAGGCCACACGATACTAGCCAGCCAACACTAGACCTGCTCATCAAACAGCACCAGAAGAAGTAGGGGGATCCTCTAAGGCCACACGATACTAGCCAGCCAACACTAGACCTGCTCATCAAACAGCATCAGAAGAAGAAGGGGGGATCCTCTAAGGCCACACGATACTAGCCAGCCAACACTAGACCTGCTCATCAAACAGCACCAGAAGAACGGGGGATCCTCTAAGGCCACACGATACTAGCCAGCCAACACTAGACCTGCTCATCAAACAGCACCAGAAGAAGAAGGGGGGATCCTCTAAGGCCACACGATACTAGCCAGCCAACACCCAACACTAGACCTGCTCATCAAACAGCACCAGAAGAAGAAGGGGGGATCCTCTAAGGCCACACGATACTAGCCAGCCAACACTAGACCTGCTCATCAAACAGCATCAGAAGAAGAAGGGGGATCCTCTAAGGCCACACGATACTAGCCAGCCAACACTAGACCTGCTCATCAAACAGCATCAGAAGAAGAAGGGGGGATCCTCTAAGGCCATACGATACTAGCCAGCCAACACCCAACACTAGACCTGCTCATCAAACAGCACCAGAAGAAGAAGGGGGGATCCTCTAAGGCCACACGATACTAGCCAGCCAACACTAGACCTGCTCATCAAACAGCATCAGAAGAAGAAGGGGGGATCCTCTAAGGCCACACGATACTAGCCAGCCAACACTAGACCTGCTCATCAAACAGCATCAGAAGAAGAAGGGGGGATCCTCTAAGGCCACACGATACTAGCCAGCCAACACTAGACCTGCTCATCAAACAGCACCAGAAGAAGAAGGGGGATCCTCTAAGGCCACACGATACTAGCCAGCCAACACTAGACCTGCTCATCAAACAGCACCAGGAGAAGAAGGGGGATCCTCTAAGGCCACACGATACTAGCCAGCCAACACTAGACCTGCTCATCAAACAGCATCAGAAGAAGAAGGGGGGATCCTCTAAGGCCACACGATACTAGCCAGCCAACACTAGACCTGCTAATCAAGCAGCACCAGGAGAAGAAGGGGGATCCTCTAAGGCCACACGATACTAGCCAGCCAACACTAGACCTGCTCATCAAACAGCATCAGAAGAAGAAGGGGGGATCCTCTAAGGCCACACGATACTAGCCAGCCAACACTAGACCTGCTCATCAAACAGCACCAGAACAAGAAGGGGGGGGGGGATCCTCTAAGGCCACACGATACTAGCCAGCCAACACTAGACCTGCTCATCAAACAGCACCAGAAGAAGAAGGGGGGATCCTCTAAGGCCACACGATACTAGCCAGCCAACACTAGACCTGCTCATCAAACAGCACCAGGAGAAGAAGGGGGGATCCTCTAAGGCCACACGATACTAGCCAGCCAACACTAGACCTGCTCATCAAACAGCATCAGAAGAAGAAGGGGGGATCCTCTAAGGCCACACGATACTAGCCAGCCAACACTAGACCTGCTCATCAAACAGCATCAGAAGAAGAAGGGGGGATCCTCTAAGGCTACACGATACTAGCCAGCCAACACTAGACCTGCTCATCAAACAGCACCAGAAGAAGAAGGGGGGATCCTCTAAGGCCACACGATACTAGCCAGCCAACACTAGACCTGCTCATCAAACAGCACCAGAAGAAGAAGGGGGGATCCTCTAAGGCCACACGATACTAGCCAGCCAACACTAGACCTGCTCATCAAACAGCACCAGGAGAAGAAGGGGGGATCCTCTAAGGCTACACGATACTAGCCAGCCAACACTAGACCTGCTCATCAAACAGCACCAGAAGAAGAAGGGGGGATCCTCTAAGGCCATACGATACTAGCCAGCCAACACTAGACCTGCTCATCAAACAGCACCAGAAGAAGAAGGGGGGATCCTCTAAGGCCACACGACACTAGCCAGCCAACACTAGACCTGCTCATCAAACAGCATCAGAAGAAGAAGGGGGGATCCTCTAAGGCCACACGATACTAGCCAGCCAACACTAGACCTGCTCATCAAACAGCACCAGAACAAGAAGGGGGGGGGATCCTCTAAGGCCTCACGATACTAGCCAGCCAACACTAGACCTGCTCATCAAACAGCACCAGAAGAAGAAGGGGGGATCCTCTAAGGCCACACGACACTAGCCAGCCAACACTAGACCTGCTCATCAAACAGCACCAGAAGAAGAAGGGGGGATCCTCTAAGGCCACACGACACTAGCCAGCCAACACTAGACCTGCTCATCAAACAGCATCAGAAGAAGAAGGGGGGATCCTCTAAGGCCACACGATACTAGCCAGCCAACACTAGACCTGCTCATCAAACAGCACCAGAACAAGAAGGGGGGGGGATCCTCTAAGGCCTCACGATACTAGCCAGCCAACACTAGACCTGCTCATCAAACAGCACCAGAAGAAGAAGGGGGGATCCTCTAAGGCCACACGACACTAGCCAGCCAACACTAGACCTGCTCATCAAACAGCATCAGAAGAAGAAGGGGGGATCCTCTAAGGTCACACGATACTAGCCAGCCAACACTAGACCTGCTCATCAAACAGCACCACAAGGGGGGATCCTCTAAGGCCACACGATACTAGCCAGCCAACACTAGACCTGCTCATCAAACAGCATCAGAAGAAGAAGGGGGGATCCTCTAAGGCCACACGATACTAGCCAGCCAACACTAGACCTGCTCATCAAACAGCATCAGAAGAAGAAGGGGGGATCCTCTAAGGCCACACGATACTAGCCAGCCAACACTAGACCTGCTCATCAAACAGCATCAGAAGAAGAAGGGGGATCCTCTAAGGCCACACGATACTAGCCAGCCAACACTAGACCTGCTCATCAAACAGCACCAGAAGAAGAAGGGGGGATCCTCTAAGGCCACACGATACTAGCCAGCCAACACTAGACCTGCTCATCAAACAGCACCAGAAGAAGAAGGGGGGATCCTCTAAGGCCACACGATACTAGCCAGCCAACACTAGACCTGCTCATCAAACAGCATCAGAAGAAGAAGGGGGGATCCTCTAAGGCCACACGATACTAGCCAGCCAACACACGATACTAGCCAGCCAACACTAGACCTGCTCATCAAACAGCACCAGAAGAAGAAGGGGGGGATCCTCTAAGGCCACACGATACTAGCCAGCCAACACTAGACCTGCTCATCAAACAGCATCAGAAGAAGAAGGGGGGATCCTCTAAGGCCACACGACACTAGCCAGCCAACACTAGACCTGCTCATCAAACAGCATCAGAAGAAGAAGGGGGGATCCTCTAAGGCCACACGATACTAGCCAGCCAACACTAGACCTGTTCATCAATCAGCATCAGAAGAAGAAGGGGGGGATCCTCTAAGGCCACACGATACTAGCCAGCCAACACACGATACTAGCCAGCCAACACTAGACCTGCTCATCAAACAGCATCAGAAGAAGAAGGGGGGATCCTCTAAGGCCACACGATACTAGCCAGCCAACACTAGACCTGCTCATCAAACAGCATCAGAAGAAAAAGGGGGGATCCTCTAAGGCCACACGATACTAGCCAGCCAACACTAGACCTGCTCATCAAACAGCATCAGAAGAAGAAGGGGGGATCCTCTAAGGCCACACGATACTAGCCAGCCAACACTAGACCTGCTCATCAAACAGCATCAGAAGAAGAAGGGGGGATCCTCTAAGGCCACACGATACTAGCCAGCCAACACTAGACCTGCTCATCAAACAGCACCAGAAGAAGAAGGGGGGATCCTCTAAGGCCACACGATACTAGCCAGCCAACACTAGACCTGCTCATCAAACAGCACCAGAACAAGAAGGGGGGGGGATCCTCTAAGGCCTCACGATACTAGCCAGCCAACACTAGACCTGCTCATCAAACAGCACCAGAAGAAGAAGGGGGGATCCTCTAAGGCCACACGACACTAGCCAGCCAACACTAGACCTGCTCATCAAACAGCATCAGAAGAAGAAGGGGGGATCCTCTAAGGTCACACGATACTAGCCAGCCAACACTAGACCTGCTCATCAAACAGCATCAGAAGAAGAAGGGGGGATCCTCTAAGGCCACACGATACTAGCCAGCCAACACTAGACCTGCTCATCAAACAGCATCAGAAGAAGAAGGGGGGATCCTCTAAGGCCACACGATACTAGCCAGCCAACACTAGACCTGCTCATCAAACAGCATCAGAAGAAGAAGGGGGGATCCTCTAAGGCCACACGATACTAGCCAGCCAACACTAGACCTGCTCATCAAACAGCACCAGAAGAAGAAGGGGGGATCCTCTAAGGCCACACGATACTAGCCAGCCAACACTAGACCTGCTCATCAAACAGCACCAGAAGAAGAAGGGGGGATCCTCTAAGGCCACACGATACTAGCCAGCCAACACTAGACCTGCTCATCAAACAGCATCAGAAGAAGAAGGGGGGATCCTCTAAGGCTACACGATACTAGCCAGCCAACACTAGACCTGCTCATCAAACAGCACCAGAAGAAGAAGGGGGGATCCTCTAAGGCCACACGATACTAGCCTGCCAACACTAGACCTGCTCATCAAACAGCACCAGAAGAAGAAGGGGGGATCCTCTAAGGCCACACGATACTAGCCAGCCAACACTAGACCTGCTCATCAAACAGCACCAGGAGAAGAAGGGGGGATCCTCTAAGGCTACACGATACTAGCCAGCCAACACTAGACCTGCTCATCAAACAGCACCAGAAGAAGAAGGGGGGATCCTCTAAGGCCATACGATACTAGCCAGCCAACACTAGACCTGCTCATCAAACAGCACCAGAAGAAGAAGGGGGGATCCTCTAAGGCCACACGACACTAGCCAGCCAACACTAGACCTGCTCATCAAACAGCATCAGAAGAAGAAGGGGGGATCCTCTAAGGTCACACGATACTAGCCAGCCAACACTAGACCTGCTCATCAAACAGCATCAGAAGAAGAAGGGGGGATCCTCTAAGGTCACACGATACTAGCCAGCCAACACTAGACCTGCTCATCAAACAGCATCAGAAGAAGAAGGGGGGATCCTCTAAGGCCACACGATACTAGCCAGCCAACACTAGACCTGCTCATCAAACAGCACCAGAACAAGAAGGGGGGGGATCCTCTAAGGCCTCACGATACTAGCCAGCCAACACTAGACCTGCTCATCAAACAGCATCAGAAGAAGAAGGGGGGATCCTCTAAGGCCACACGATACTAGCCAGCCAACACTAGACCTGCTCATCAAACAGCATCAGAAGAAGAAGGGGGGATCCTCTAAGGCCACACGATACTAGCCAGCCAACACTAGACCTGCTTATCAAACAGCACCAGAAGAAGAAGGGGGGATCCTCTAAGGCCACACGATACTAGCCAGCCAACACTAGACCTGCTCATCAAACAGCACCAGAAGAAGAAGGGGGGATCCTCTAAGGCCACACGATACTAGCCAGCCAACACTAGACCTGCTCATCAAACAGCATCAGAAGAAGAAGGGGGGATCCTCTAAGGCCACACGATACTAGCCAGCCAACACTAGACCTGTTCATCAATCAGCATCAGAAGAAGAAGGGGGGGATCCTCTAAGGCCACACGATACTAGCCAGCCAACACACGATACTAGCCAGCCAACACTAGACCTGCTCATCAAACAGCATCAGAAGAAGAAGGGGGGATCCTCTAAGGCCACACGATACTAGCCAGCCAACACTAGACCTGCTCATCAAACAGCATCAGAAGAAAAAGGGGGGATCCTCTAAGGCCACACGATACTAGCCAGCCAACACTAGACCTGCTCATCAAACAGCATCAGAAGAAGAAGGGGGGATCCTCTAAGGCCATACGATACTAGCCAGCCAACACTAGACCTGCTCATCAAACAGCATCAGAAGAAGAAGGGGGGATCCTCTAAGGCCACACGATACTAGCCAGCCAACACTAGACCTGCTCATCAAACAGCATCAGAAGAAGAAGGGGGGATCCTCTAAGGTCACACGATACT